ATTCTGGACCCTATTTTGAAATTGACATCTTTTTTAGTTTGAGTGAAATTGGCCAAATTGCCAATTTCTGACCACCATACTGGGTAGTCCAAATTAGTAAATGGGAGGTTTCTTGTACTCAGCTGATAGATAAAATGGAGTTCTAAAGAAATAGCTATGAGTTTGATCAACTGGAACAATGGAATTGGCTGAAAATAGGGCTCAAAGTCGGCGAAATCGCCGATACGCATATGTCGCCGAGACCGCTAACTTTGCAGGAGCATAATTCCATGAGTTTTCGACCAAATTTCGAACTTTTGGTGTCATTACCACCGGGAAAAGATTCTCTATCATTTCATAAGAAAAAATAATTTTTTTTTTCAAAAATTGAGCGACATAGAATGACAGTTTCAGAGAGGGGCCTGAAACAGTCAAAGGGTTAATTATAAGTGAATCTAATTTATATAAGACAAAAGATATATTCATATATTCAAAAATACTTTTTGTGAAAACAATGATTCAAATATATTCCTATCGACAATGGATAAAAGGTTCAAAGTAATTGTTGAAATTATGATATGGGAATACATAACTGAGTATGTGAGTACTGAGTATTTACCATTTAGTCTAGGGTGATTAAGTGGCTTTTGAGAAAAGTCTTAAATTGATTTTCAGACCGGGTTACTTTAGTATCTTCGGCTAGTATTTTTATTGTTGAACTGTATGCAATTCTCATTGCAGTTACTTGTATTCCATCTATGCCTACCTCACTGTTTATAGCAGTCTCTGATTCCTTTAGTGCTCTGCAAGCTACTAAAAAATTTGATTTGCTTCATCCCCTAGTTCTTTGTATAAACCTTTGGTTGCATCGCATTTCTAGCAAAAACAAAAAAATAATTTTTTGTTGGGTCCCTGGTCATGTTGATGCTCAGGGCAATGAGCAGGTAGACTCTGCTGCGCAGTCAGCAGTACATGACCTGCCAGGCTCATATAGAGGTATTCCATTCTCAGACTATTTTGCTGTAATTTTTAACTACCTTCGCAACCACTGACAATGACGATGGTCTGATATGACTCTTAACAAATTATACAGCCTCTCCTCACTTAGTGACGTACTTGTTTACCAATGACTCAGACTTACGACGGGCTCTCTGACCAGCATGCATACCTAAATAATGTATATTAAAGCCGATTTCCTCTATTCTGTTTATTACAGTATACAGTACACTATTGTATGAACATTTAAAAATATGCTAAAAATGTTATAAATGATGCAAAAGTGACATTAAAATAATATCAAAGATGGCAGACACAAACCCACTACCATTACAGTATGCTCCTCACTTTGCGACGAATTTGCATCATTTAAAAATATGCTACAAATGTTATAAATGATGCAAAAGTGACATTAAAATAATATCAAAGATGGCAGACACAAACCCACTACCATTACAGTATGCTCCTCACTTTGCGACGAATTTGTTTACCAATGTGGTCTTAGGAACAGAACTCCATCGTTAAGTGAGGGGAGGCTGCATTCTATTCAGCCAAATTTAGGATTCTGGCCATCTTCTTGTCATCAATATTGAAATTGGGAGACTACACTCTCCTCTCTTCACATCAGGCACACCCGTCTTACTCATGGGTATCTCATGGAGGGGCACCCTGTTCCACTCTGTGAAAATTGTCAAGTTCCAATTTCAGTAAGCCATATTCTATTGGACTGTCTTGTCTATCAACGAACACAGAATTTACTTCTGACGTCGTCACCGCTCTAGCACCCTTACACTATCTTCCTTCCTTGTTGACGGACCCACCTTCGACTCAGACTCCCTTTTTGACTTTTTGATAGCAACCAATTTATTACACAAACTTCAATAATATACTTCCTTTAGCACTCCTCACACCCCTTTCTATCTACACCTCTGTTATCCTTGCAACTCTCGCTACTCTCTGATCCAGCAACAACTCCTGCCCTGCAGCTCTGTATGACCCTAGTGGGTTTAGCTCTTGGTTTTGATTATAATAATAATGAACTCTTCTCCAGGCTGAGGGATGGACCACCTCAAATACTATTTCTCCATAAACCTACTGTGTAGGCAAAACAATTTAACAATAAAGATACCCAACTGTTGCACGTGTCTTACTCATCAACTTGTCGGTATTTTGTGCCATTTTCAACATCTGTGATGGTTGATAGCTACCTTTTGATTGATGATTAGCTTGAGGTGGATAGCAAAGGCACAACTTCCACATGTGGGGTACGGGTAATGAAGTAGTGTAGATTGGAGAACATAAAAAGCTATAATTGTGGATACTTTTTTACACATGTTCAAAGTATTTAAATTTAATTTGTTGCCTAAAGGAAACCTAACAACTTAGTTGTTAGGTCTACTTTAGTTTTAAAGTAACTCAGGATAGTAATACAGTGGACCCCCGCCCAACGGCAGCATCAAGTAACTGCAAATTCATCTAATGGCGCTCTTTGGCGTAAAAAAAAATGGCTCTACCAATGGCGAAAAACTCATCTAACGGCATTCGGCCCAAGCGTGTCCGTGTGGCCAGAGCGCGGCCTGAGTGGGCCTAGCCACTCCAAGACTCAGTGTGCCATTGTTTACAAGCCATTGTGGTCGATTCCACGTGTACCTGTGGTATATTTTGCATTATTCCATTTCATGAGAAATTTTTTTTTTTTTTTTTTGGGGGGGGGGGGAAATTTTGCAACACCAGGAGACACCTCAGGATTTGGGGTTGCGACAGTCAAGGGGTTAACCCTTTGAGGGTCGACAGGCCCTCTCCGAAACTCGTTCTCAGGGTCGGCCAAATTTAAAAAAAAAAAAAAATTATTTTCTCTTATGAAAAGATAGAGAATCTTTTCCCGATCATAAAGACACCAAAAGTTTGAAATTTGATAGAAAACTTACGAAATTATGCTCTCGCAAAGTTAGCAGTCTCGGCGATGTTTACGTATCGGCGATTTTGCCCACTTTGAGCCCCATTTTCGGCCAATTTCGCTGTACTAGTCGACAAAAACATGAATATTTCGCTAGAACTCCATTTTTTCTATCGAATGGTGCAAGAAACCACCCATTTATGAAATTCAACTATCCAGTACAGTGGTCAGAATTTAGCAATTTTGCCAATTTCACACAAATTTCAAAAGATGCCAATTTCCGAATAGGGTCCAGAATAAACAAGAAAGACATTCCTGGCACTAAAATGACATTTCCTCTAGTCATTAGTCACGTCTCAAGGCCCCTCTTATATTCTTTTGCTTTCCATTTTGAATTTTTATTCTCACAAAAAATATAAGATTTACTGTTATGCAGACTACTGCATTAGTGTAAAAAATGGTATAAATATTATTGGTGCACTTGTGAAGGAATATTAGACTCACTAGTTGACGTGTATTGCACGCTTGGCACGATTTGTTTACTTTTGAAATTTGGTAAAAATCGAACATTTCTGCTACTTTGAGCTCAATTTCAAGGCACCTTTCTTTGTAAAACCAGCCAAAATCATCTCAATTTCTGTAATATGTCTTCCATTCTATAAAATGAGACCAAGAAAACCAGAATACAACAATAAATACCATACGAAAATACACTGCAAAGTCGCTGATTTATTCCAAAAAAATGGTCAAAGTTTTTTTTTTCTCATTATGCACTGTGTGCTGCAGGATTTTTTTTAGACTGTGCACACTGACCACATAGACCCATTCTTTCATATGAAGGCCTACCAGCTTTCTCCCACTAGATTTGAGGCCGCTAGAATTTATGCGTACTAGTACGTCAAAAACCCCTACGCGTAAAACGTACTAGTACGACGAAAACCCTCAAAGGGTTAATACTTTTGGGTGTCTGGAACGGATTAATTCTATTTCCATTATTTCTTAGGGGGGAAAATTAATTCGACTAACGGCTAGCTCTCTGGAACGGATTAATGCCACTGGTCGAGGATCCAATGTAATGGTAGAATTACGTAAATGGGCACAGATGCAAGTAATGCCACATTTTATGTAACAGTTTGATGAAGCTCCTGGAGAGCAAAAAGTTGCCACAATAAAATGTCATATTAGTTGCATCTGTGTCCATTTACCCAGTGTAACTCAAGATGTTAGCTTCAAGGATACTATCTGGCAGATTGATCCCAAAGGGGCATGCAAAGTTTTCTGCTAGGAGAAGTTTTACTCACTGTTAACCTCCTCAAGAAACAATTTAAATTTTATGAATGTTGGGCTTTTTTGAGGATGTGTGACAGATATTAGGAATCCAAAAAGGTAATCAAAGAGTAATTTAAAGTTGAGAGTAAATATCAAAGACACTTCAGAAGAGCAACTTGAGCTTCATGGGGAAAAGAAGGAAGGCAGCAACCAGGAAAGTTCTCTGTAGACACCCCTGAATCAGCTTCGTACAATACTGTGTAATATGTCATATTAGCAATCATCTTTGCTACTATCTCTAAGGTTTTCATCGAGATAATTACTGGTCATTTAATCAGAGTCAGTACTAGTGAAATTCTGGAAGCATAACTTCATTACACAAACACACATGAGCTCCACACATGCTAGCACTACACATGCACACACAAAAGTAAACATGCAGGTACACCATAATCTTCACCTGCTTTTATTAAATAAAAAAATATAACTTTACACTCAATGAAAGATACGAGCATTGTCAGAGATGTTTTACTCTAGTTATAATTACATGCATAATCGTAAGTTTCCTGGAGACATTCCTTGCATGATGCATGTACTGCCTGGTCACAGAGCAATATCATGTCTCCCCAACACAGTGTACCTAAATGTTCCATTCCTTTATACTGGAAACAACGTTACCAATAATTTGAGAGTTAATAACAGGATAACAGTCAAACACACACACACAATCACAGTCAAAACACACAGAACCACAACCAAACATATGCACACACACAGAACCACAAGAAAACATATGCATACACACAGAAGCACAGCCACACATACACAGATATACACAAAACACAAAGAAAAAACTCACCCTGTCGTATAAAGCAAAAACCCTTTCAATGTCCTCCTTGGTGAGTTTGGATGCACCCTGTGGTAGCAAAGAAACAATGTTAAAAATGAAGCACACACACACATTGTCTACAATTGGTCACAGCAATGATGACATTTCATCAATGTGGTTATACATAAAAATGTCATTAACTGTAATCTTCAAGGACTATTTCTAATCTTAAAATAATAAATTTATGAGAAATGTGCTGTTTAGTGTGTATGTATGTATGTATGCTTGGGTTGTAAATGCTGCAGCAAGGAGGCGGTTGGAGGCAGTGGAGATGTTGTGTCAAAGGGCAATGTGTGGTGTAGATCGCAAGTTCTGCCTATTTGGCACGATATATATATATATATACACACCTACCATCCGACTTACGACCGTGTTTTCTATGCCAAATTTCTGGGAAATAAACACTGTGTACATCACAAACAGTTGTTTATCCTAAACCTTACAGTGTAAAATACAGTACTAACAGCATAAAAAGTAAAGTAAAAAATTAAATACCAAAATAAAACAATAAAATAAAGTCATTACAAAAATGCGATGTTGATATTCAGTAGTAAGGTTCGACTTACATCCATTTTGACTTGCGACCGGTTTGTCGGCACTGAACTCGGTCGTAAGTCGGATGGTACCTGTATATATCTATATATATATTTTCAACAAGTCGGCCACCTCCCACCAAGGCAGGGCGACCCAAAAAGAAAGAAAATTCCTCCAAAAATACTTTCATCATCATTCAACACTTTCACCTCACTAATACATAATCACTGTCTTTGCAGAGGGGCTCAGATATAACAGTTTAGACGTCCCTCCAAACTGTCTATATCCCAGGCATTGTACTTCCCATTTCCAGGACTCAAGCCCAGCTAAATCTATAATAACCAGTTTCCCTGAATCCCTTCACTAAATATTACCCTGCTCACACTCCATAAGCTCATCAAGTCCCAAAAACCATTTGTCTCCATTTACTCCTAACACACTCACACACGCTTGCTGGAAGTCCAAACCCCTCGCCCACAAAACCTCCTTTAGCCCCTCCAACCTTTCCTAGGGCGACCCCTACCCCGTCTTCCCTCCACTACAGATTTATACTCTCTCAAAGTCATTCTATTTCGTTCCATCCTCTCTACATGTCCAAACCATCTCAATAACCCCTCCTCAGCCCTCTGGATAATAGTTTTGGTAATTTCACACCTCCCCCTAATGTCCAAACTACGGATTCTCTACATTATATTCACACCACACATTGCCCTTAGACATGACATCTCCACTGCCTCCAGCCTTTTCCTCCTTGCAACATTCACCACCCATGCCTCACACCCATACAAGAGCGTTGGTATAACTATACTCTCATACATTCCCCTATTTGCTTTCATGGATAAAGTTCTTTGTCTCTGCAGACTCCTCGGTGCACCACTCACCTTTTTACCTTCATCTTTCATAGACCCATCTGCTAACACGTCCATTCCCAAATATCTGAATACATTCACCTCCTCCAAACTCTCTCCCTCCAGTCTGATATCCACTCTTCCATTACCTAATTTTTTTTATCCTCATCACCTTACTCTTTCCTACATTCACTTTTAATTTCCTTCTTTTACATACCCTACCAAACTCATCAACCAACCTCTGCAACTTCTCTTTAGAATTTCCCAAAAGCACAGTGTCATCAGCAAAGAGCAACTGTGACAACTTTATCTTAGATTCTTATATACAGCCTCTCCTCATTTAGTGACATACAGTAATACCCTGGTTTCCATCCTTAATCCATACCAGAAGGTCCGCCAAAATCCGAAATGGACGGAAACCAAAGTAGTGTATTTCCCATAAGAAATAATGTAAATTCAATTAATCCATTCCAGACGCTCAAAAATATTAACAAAAAATACATTTTACAGAGAATAACTAAAGTTTTACATACAGAAAACAATGAGAAATAAATATGACTAATTTTAATGATAAATTAACATTAATTACCTTCACTGAAGACTCTTGTTGGCGTATGGAAGAAGGCGAAGAGAGGAGAGGGAGCTGAGGTTATTGTTCAGAAGGAGAATCCTCCTCCATAAGGACTTCAGGTATCAAAGTCCTATCTGGGGCTTTGATACCTGAAGTCCTTATGGATTGGCACTAGGACCAGCTTGAGAGTCACTGCACCCTCCGCACAAAAAATCTGTCCAGAGAGGCCTGTTTCTGGCATCTCTAAGATTTGCCTAAAATGGGACAACACACTGTCATTGAACATGTTGCAGACACAGCTTGCAACAGTTTTGTTAGGTTGATAATTCTCTGCAAAACTTTGCACCTCACTCCACTTTGCACAAATGTACTTAATCACTGAAGAAGGCACATTCTCCTTTCTATCTTCCTCCTCCTCTGAAGCAATTTCCTCAGCTGTGATCTGTTGCTGTTTCAGTTGAAGGTCTTGCAGCTTTTCAGTGGTTAGCTCTTCCCTGTGGTCCTCCACTAACTTTTCCACATCCTGGCCACTCACACAACACCCATTGACTTCCCAAAGACACAACAGATTCCACAACAGGCATAGGGTCATCAGGGTCAGCCTCAAACCCTTCAAAAATCCTTCTGGCCACAACTGGCCACATGCAACTGCCTTGCCTCTTTGAAAATTATCCCCTCCGCAACACTATCTCCCGTTGTTTTTCATCAGTCCACACCAACAACTTCTCCACATTCTTGATTGTTTGTGATCTCTGTTTCGTTAGCATATTTACCCCTTTCGCAACATCAGCTTCCTTGATTTCTGCTTTCTTCGCCAGGATGGAACTGATTGTTGATGTGGACTTCCCATACATCCTGGCAAGCTCGGCCACACACATGCCACTTTTATATTTCGCTACAAGTTCTTTCTTGAATTCTATTGTGTTTCTTACCTTCTTTACCAAAGGGCTGGCACTCTGAACTTTCTTTGGCCCCATAGCGGCTTATTTCACAGTTGCAATCAATAAACAAGCATGAAAAACAATGGATTCTTCTTCTTCTTCTTCTGTTGGGTTTCAGGGCCACTGACAGCACACGCCGTATCGAGCCCGGCCGTCCAGTGCTAGGAGAGGGAATATCGACCAAAGTGGAAGAATGTCTTGACTAATAACTGTGTATCATATGTCCCTTATATGCCCTGAAGCCAGCAGGAAGGAGCAGGTACAGGCCAATATCTCCCGACGGTCCAGAGGGCGAAACCCCTCCCCGTTGAGGAGGACAGGTAGAGTGAAAGTGTGCACCCCAAGTGTGAGCAAGGCCGCATGGAGAGTAGTCCGTGCAGAGTGATAACGTGGGCACCACAGCAGGAAGTGTTCCACCATCTCAGGCTGTGAGGGACACCACGGGCAGTACGGAGAGTCCGTCATCCGAAGGCGATACAGATGAACCGCCAGTCGCGAGTGCCCGACTCGAAGGCGGGTCAGTGCAACGTCCACCGAGCGGTTGGGATGGCGAGCCCAAGGGCAGGAGCCATTAAAAGTTCGGACAGAGCCCAACGCCGAAGAAGAGAGGGAGTGTCAAGGCCCTCTTGCCACTGATGACGGATTCCCTTCAAAACAGCCCTTGTGAAATCACTGTGGCCCAGGGCAAGAGGGGTAACAGTAGGAAGTGTGTGCGCGAGGGAGGCCGCCCGATCTGCCACTTCATTGCCCCAGATTCCAACATGGGCGGGAACCCACTGAAGGGAGATGCTCCAACCTGGACTCCGCAAGAAGCGCAGGAGGAGAGACTGTGTCCGACGAACGAGGACGCGCAGTGATCGTGGATGGGCAGAGCACAAAAGTGCCAGGGAAGATTGGGAATCAGAGAAGAGGACCAATGGTTGTGGGGAAATGTGATTGAGGACAAAAGCCAGAGCCTGGTGAATGGCGAAGAGCTCCCCTGCCAGAACAGAATGAGCAGGGTCCAACTGCCACTTTTGACACAGGGAGAGATTAGCGAAGAAGGCCGCAGATGATGTAGAAGAGGGGGAGGACCGTGCCAAGCCATCTGTGTAGACAGAGAATGAAGAGCTATATGTAACAGAGCGAAACTCTTCAAATAGAAATGCAACTAACTGAGGGGGTTCCCTGTTCCTGTGGAGCCAATCCAGGTGAATGTACCGTGTCAGATATGTATTGCTAACTCAACAAGAGAGAGAGGTAGACCGAGTCTGGTACGTGTAAGAAGCAGCGTCCTGGGCAGGTGGATGCATTTGATACAGATGATTTCTGAGCAGATGTACAAAACCCGGGGGAAAATTTCGCCAAAATAAGTGCTCAAAATCCAAATTGTACGATTTCCACACCGGACGAAAACAGGGGGTCCACTGTGCTCATTTAGCGACGACTCAGGCTTAAGACAGGCTCTGTGACCAGTATGCATACCTAAATAATGCATATTAGAGCCAATTTCTTCTATTCTGTTTATTACAATATACAGAGCACTACTGTATAAACATTTTAAAATATACCAGAAATGTTATAAATGGTGCAAAGGTGACATTAAAACAATATCAAAGATGGGTGACAAACCCACTACCATTATGTTCCTCACTTAGTGATGAATTTGTTTACCAACGTTGTGAGGAGAGGCTGTACTGTATAATTGGTTTTTATTTTTTTTGTTTTTAATATTTTTGTTTTCTGAGGCTATGTATAATGAAATATAACAATTTTTTAGTATAATATTCATTAAAATACAAATTATTCACACTGTTTGACTTTACTGGGTTATCCTGGATTAAATATACTTAGTGTGCTTTGTGGCTGAATTCCACCATATCACAAAATTTTAAGAGATTTAGAATAAATCATCATTTGCCACTTGCACACCCTGTTTGCTGGAAGACAGGCTGGTGGTGGAACAACAGCTCCTGATCCCTTCGTTTACTTCTGCTAGTGAGGTGTACTAGTATGTTGGATAGTGGCCTCAGCCAGGAATTTATTTTTCTCACCAGCATTATAATGAAATAACATTAAATGAAACGACATTATTCAAGGACCTACTGTGCGTGGGGGTTATTTTTTTTTATTAATACATTGGCTGCTTCCCACCAAGGCAGTGTGACTAGAAAAACAAAAAAACACTTTCATCATCATTCACTCCATCACTCTTGCCAGAGGCACGCCTACACTAGAGTTAAAAAATTGCAACACATCAACACTTCCTCCTTCACAGTGCAGGCACTGTACTTCCCACCTCCAGGACTCAATTCTGGTTAACCGGCTTCTCTGAATCCCTTCATAAACGTCACTTTGCTCACACTCCAACAGCACGTCAAGTCATAAAAACCCTTCGTCTCCACTCACTCTTATCTAACATGCTCAAGCACACCTGCTGGAAGTCCAAGAACCCAAGCACACAAAACCTACTTTACCCCCTCCCTCCAACCATTTCCTGGATGACCCCTACCCCACCTTCCTTCTGCTACAGATCTGTATGCCCTCAAAGTCATTCTATTATGTTCCTTCCTCTCTAAATCTCCAAACCACCTCAACAACCCTTCCTCTGCCCTCTGGATATTTTTGGAAACCCCACACTTCCTAATTTCCAAGCTACAGATTCTCTGTATTGCCCTCAGCCTTCTCCTTGTTGCAACATTCGTCACCCATGTTTCACGCCCATATAATAGTGTTAGTACCACTATACTCTCACAGTCTCTTCTTTGCTTCCATGGATAATGTTCTTTGTCTCCACAGACTCCACGCACCTTTTTCCCCTTATCAATTCTATGATTAACCTCATCTTTCATAGACCCATCTGCTGACAGGTCCACTCCCAAATATCTGAATATATTCACTTCCTCCATACTCTCTCCCTCCAATCTGATATCCAATCTTTCATTACCCAAATATTTTGTTATCCTCATCACCATGCTCTTTATTACATTCAATTTCAATTTTCTTCTTTTACATACCCTTCCAAACTCTTTCATCAGCCTCTGCAACTTCTCTTCAGAATCTCCCAAAAGCACAGTGTCATCAAGTGATGCTCTAGACCACTCGGCCACAAATGCCTCAAAAAGCTAGGCAGCCTTGTTTACAAGCCATGTTTCTCCTAGCCCGGGCACATCATAGGTCTCAAGCATGGTTTCAAGTTATTTCATTCTCCTGTATGTTCTAACCTCACAAGCAATTTTTATATCAGTGCACCACACAGAAACAAATGGGTATATGCAGATAAGGATTGCAGTTAGCAGGATTCAAAACCACTTCAGGGAATGCCCTATCTCTAACCAAGATTTCTTTAAGCCATTCACTACACTATGGTGACCTAGTAATGAAGAAAGATAAATCATCAGCCATGGAACTGGATCAATCACCTATATGTACTATGAAAACACAAAATAAATACTAAAACTTAATTACAACTAGTTTTCATTTCTGCTAAACAATAAACTGCAAAATACATAGTATGGAATTGGCTCAATTTTCTTCTTAACATTCAGTTTAGTAAGCAAATTTTTATTTAAGACTACGATAACATCTATTTTGTTATTTATATGGTAAATGTAGTTAGAGTTCCAAATATGTCAGTAAATGCTAAAAACTGCTCTGAAATGTAGAAATTGTCAATATTTGAACTTACCATTATAAAACCCCAATTACTTAATCCAATACTTATGGCAATTTTTATACAATAAGGGCATTCTAGGTACCATTCATTGAAGGGAAACAAAACAATTCCCATCATTCTCATTATTAGTCATAGCACAAAGCATGTCAGTACTGTACTCAATCACAAACTACTCTGTAAGAAACTATTAGAACATTCCACATTCTCTACAAAAAAATAGTCCAGCCTTTTCAATTCTCTGTTGTATTTTATTAATCAGTAAGTATACCTTATGTTGGCATTTCTCACAGCCAGAATCCCATCTACAAAAATTCAGACATTTTACATTCTTTCAAAACTATGCTACACCAGTTGGTAGAATACAACAACCTACACTAATTGATAGAACACAGTGACCCACACCAGTTTGTAGAACACAGGGACCTACACCAATTGACAAACACAGGAACCTACACCAGTTGATAGAACACAGTGACCTACACCAGTTGGTAGAACACAGTGACCGATCCACACCAGTTAGTAGGAAGACAGAGTAACTAACAGCAGTTGGTAGGGACGATAATACACACCAGCTTCTAGAAGGGGAACACAAATACTAACATTCCCATTAAGTCATGCTACATAAGCTGGTAGACCAACAAAGATCTATCACAGATCACCAGGCAAGACACTGTTGGAGTGTTGCCAACAAGAAAAAAAGTTTTTGTATTACCTGGCTCACCTTGAATACCGAACGGCACAGGAAATTTTCTTTAACTGGCAACAATCTGTAAGGAATTCTGGAATTAGTACCAAGTGAAGGGACATAAAAATGAAGTGTACACCAGAATAGGTGAAACTGAATTAAGATTATGTATAGGAAAGAAAATATTCAAGGAAGAAAGAGAAAAGAAAAAAACAATGCAAGAAAAAAAAGGAAAATATAAAAAAAAGTTGCAGACATAGAAAGGATAAGGAAAAGCATAACTGTTTCAATGAAGTAGACAACAAGAAAGCAAAAAATTGTGAAAGATTAGGAAAAACAAGGAATACCTGTAAGAAAACATTAGTGATTTAGAAAAGAAAAATAACCAACCATGTACATTAAAAAGACAGAGTCCTGTTGTCACAATCTCAATCAATCAATCAGTCAATCAATATCTATCTCTATCTATATCTATATTTATCTCTATCTCTCTCTCTCACACAAAACACACAATACAGAACAGGCCTAGTGCCTATTGACAAGTGCCTTTGACAAATGGGAACAATAAAACATAAACACACCCTCACACACACCTACACAGGATCCATACATAACTTAAGAGGTATGACCCCAATGGAAATAAGTCACTCTGTCTGACTTTTTTGGGTTATCCTAGGTTCTCTACACATATGCTGCTATGTATGATAATTCTATGTAACTGTATTGTGTATACCTGAATAAATTTACTTACTTACTTACTTACTTAGATATAAGGCTCTTGGACTGGGTAGAGTGACCTAGTAGTGACTAGCAAAGTGGCAAAGCCAGGAGTTGTGACTTGACCCCCCTAGAACCACATATAGGTGAGTGCACGCACGCACGCACCACCGCACCACACACACACACACACACACACACACACACACACACACACACACACACACACACACACACACACACACACACACACGAGTCAAGTCTGACCCGAAACTGCTGTATAGCCACATTAGGAGAAAGACAACAGTCAAAGACCAGGTGAACAGGCTGAGGAAAGGAGGTGGGGAACTCACATGAAACGATCAAGAGGTATGTGAGGAGCTCAGCAAGAGATTTAAGGAAGTATTCACTGTGGAGACAGGAAGGACTCTGGGAAGACAGGACAGAGGGGGGACACCAACAGGGAATACACCAACAAGTGCTGGATGACATACACACAACTGAGGAGGAGGTGAAGCTGCTAAGTGACCTTGATACCTCAAAGGCAATGGGACCGGACAACATCTCCCCATGGGTCCTTAGAGAGGGAGCAGAAATGCTGTGTGTCCCATTAACCACAATCTTCAACACATCCCTTGAAACTAGACAACTACCTGAGGTATAGATGGCAAATGTAGTTCCCATTTTTAAAAAAGGAGACAGAAAAGAGGCACTAAACTACAGACCAGTGTCACCGACATGTATAGTATGCAAAGTCATGGAGAAGATTATCAGGAGGAGAGTGGTAGAGCACCTAGAATGGAACAAAAATATAAATGACAACCAGCACGGTTTCATGGAAGGCAAATCCTGTGTCACAAACCTTCTGGAGTTTTATGATAAAGTAACAGAAGTAAGAGACGAGAGAGAGGAGTGGACTGATTGCATCTTCTTGGACTGCAAGAAGACCTTCAACACAGTTCCTCACAAGAGATTAGTGCAGAAACTAGAAGATCAGGCATGTATAATGGGAAGGGCACTTCAATGGATCAGATAATACCTGACAGGGAGGCAACAACGAGTCATGGTGTGTGATGAGGTATCACAGTGGGCACCTGTGACGAGCGGGGTCCCACAGGGGTCGGTCCTAGGACCAGTGCTATTTTTGGTATACGTGAATGACATGATGGAAGGGACAGACTCAGAGGTGTCCCTGTTCGCAGATGATGTGAAGTTAATGACAAGAATTAAATCAGATGAGGATCAGGCAGACCTTCAAAGAGACCTGGACAGGCTGGACACGTGGTCCAGCAACTGGCTTCTCTAATTCAGCCCTGCCAAATACAAAGTCATGAAGATTAGAGAAGGGCAAAAAAAGACTGCAAACAGAGTATAGGCTAGGTGCCCAACGACTGCAAACCTCGCTCAAGGAGAAAGATCTTGGCCTGATTATAACACCGAACACGTCTCCGGAAGCACACATCAACCAGTTAACTGCTGCAGCATATGGGCACCTGGCAAACCTGAGATTAGCATTCTGATAACTAAGTAAGGAATCTTTCAAGACACTGTACACCATGTACGTCAGGCCCATACTGACCCGCACCGGGTCAAGCACGTTAAGAAATTAGAGAAAGTGCAAAGGTTTGTGACAAGGTTAGTTCCAGAGCTAAGGAGAATGTCCTATGAAGAAAGGTTGAGGGAAATCGGCCTGACGACACTGGAGGACAGGAGGGATAGGGGAGACATGATAATGACATACAAAATACTGCATGGAATAGACAAGGTGGACAGAGACAAGATTTTCCAGAGAGGGGACACGGAAACAAGGGGTCACTCTTGGAAGTTGAAGACTCGGATGAGTCACAGGGATGTTAGGAAGCAGTTCTTCAGTTATAGAGTGGTCAGGAAGTGGAACAGTCTGGCGAGCGATGTAGTGAAGGCAGGTACCATACATAGCTTTAAGACGAGGTATGATATAGCTCATGGAACAGGGAGAGAGAGGACCTAGTAGCGTTCAGTGAAGAGGCAGGGCCAGGAGCTGAGTCTCGACCCCTGCAACCACAATTAGGCGGGTACGTACACACACACACACACACACACACACACACACACACACATGTTGTAACAACAATGTGCAAGGAGGCTGAGGAGAGGTTTATACCCAAGGGTAACAGGAATAATGAAAAAGCCAGGATGAGCCCATGGTTCACCCAAAGGTGCAGGGAGGCAAAAACCAAGTGTGCTAGGGAATGGAAGAAATATAGAAGGCAAAGGACCCAGGAGAATAAAGAGAGCAGTCGTAGAGCCAGAAACGAATATGCACAGGTAAGAAGGGAGGCCCAACGATAATATGAAAACGACATAGCAGCGAAAGCCAAATCTGACCCGAAACTGTTATACAGCCACATCAGGAGGAAAACAACAGTCAAGGACCAGGTAATCAGGCTAAGGAAGGAAGGAGGAGAGACAACAATAAATGACCGTGAAGTATGTGAAGAACTCAACAAGAGATTCAAAGAAGTGTTCACAGAGGAGACAGAAGGGGCTCCAGAAAGGCGGAGAGGTGGGGCACACCATCAAGTGCTGGACACAGTACACACAACCGAGGAAGAAGTGAAGAGGCTTCGGAGTGAGCTAGATACCTCAAAGGCAATGGGGCCAGATAACATCTCCCCATGGGTCCTGAGAGAGGGAGCAGAGGCGCTATGTGTACCCCTAACAACAATATTCAACACATCTATCGAAACAGGGAGATTGCCTGAGGCATGGAAGACAGCAAATGTAGTCCCAATCTTTAAAAAAAGGAGACAGACATGAAGCACTAAACTACAGACCAGTGTCACTGACATGTATAGTATGCAAAGTCATGGAGAAGATTATCAGAAGAAGAGTGGTGGAACACCTAGAAAGGAATGATCTCATCAACAGCACCCAACATGGTTTCAGGGACAGGAAATCCTGTGTCACAAACCTACTGGACTTCTATGACATTGTGACAGCAGTAAGACAAGAGAGAAGCCATTTGACACAGTTCCACACAAGAGATTAGTGCAAAAACTGGAGGACCAAGCAGGGATAACAGGGAAGGTACTACAATGGATCAGGGAATACTTGTCAGGAAGACAGCAGCAACTCATGGTATGTGGCGAGGTGTCAGAGTGGGCACCTGTGACCAGCGGGGTCCCACAGGGGTCGGTCCTAGGACCAGTGCTGTTTCTGGTATTTGTGAACAACATGACGGAAGGAATAGACTCCGAGGTGTCCCTGTTTGCAGATGACATGAAGTTGATGAGAAGAATTCATTCGATCGAAGACCAGGCAGAACTACAAAGGGATCTGGACAGGCTGTAGACCTGGTCCAGCAACTGGCTCCTGGAGTTCAATCCCACTAAGTGCAAAGTCATGAAGATTGGGGAAGGGCAAAGAAGACTGCAGATGGAGTACAGTCTAAGGGGCCAGAGACTACAAACCTCACTCAAGGAAAAAGATCTTGGGGCGAGTATAACACCAGGCACATCTCCTGAAGCGCACATCAACCAAATAACTGCTGCAGCATATGGGCGCCTAGCAAACCTCAGAACAGCAGTCCGAACATCTTAATAAGGAATCGTTCAGGACCCTGTATACCATATAAGTTAGCCCCATATTGGAGTATGCGGCACCAGTTTAGAACCCACACCTAGTCAAGCACGTAAAGAAACTAGAGAAAAAGCAAAGGTTTGCAACAAGACTAGTCCCAGAGCTAAGAGGTATGTCCTACGAGGAGAGGTTAAGGGAAATCAACCTGACGACACTGGAGGACAGGAGAGATAGGGGGGACATGATAACAACATACAAAATACTGAGAGGAATTGACAAGGTGGACAAAGACAGGATGTTCCAGAGATTGGACACAGTAACAAGGGGACACAGTTGGAAGTTGAAGGCACAAATGAATCACAGGGATGTTAGGAAGTATTTCTTCAGCCACAGAGTAGTCAGGCAGTGGAATAGTTTGGGAAGCAATGTAGTGGAGGCAGGATCCATACATAGCTTTAAGCAGAGGTATGATAAAGCTCACGGTTCAGGGAGAGTGACCTAGTAGTGACCAGTGAAGAGGCGAGGCCAGGAGCTTGGACTCGACCCCTGCAACCTCAGCTAGGTGAGTATACACACACACACATACACACACACACACACACACACACACACACACACACACACACACACAGGGGAGGGGAGTTAAAGTGTGGAGGTACTGTAGTGAGGTAGTCAAGAATACTGTAATGGGATAGTAAAAAGCTTTTTAGTGAAATAGTAAAGTTTATTGCATCTGGATATTATTGTGTTAGGATATTAAGGACTATTGTAGTGGGATAGTCAAAGAGTATTGTGGTGGGACAATAAAATGTTGTAGTGGGATAATAAAATATTGTAGTAGGGTGGGGCAATACAGAGAAATATTGAACATTGTAAAAATAGAACTGAAGAAATATATTTCCTATAAAAGAAATATTTAACAAATAAAATAAACAAAGTTCCAAAATAATTTAAGTCTCCTGTCTGCTGACATAATTTTTTTTTTTCACAAGAAAATATAAGAAATTCAAATTCCCTTCTTTACTTCCTTCCTTTTCATCCCTCCCTTTCCCTTCATCCCTCCCTTTCCCATCCTCCCTCCCTCCTTTCCCATCCTCCCTCCCTCCTTTCCCATCCTCCCTCCCTCCATCCCTACTTCATTCCCAGCTCTATTTTCATCCTCCTCCCTTCTCATCCCTCCTTAGCCCTATCATTATCATCCTCTTCTTCTCCTCCCACAATTACCGTGGCAGCTACTGGGCCCCTCACAGTCCAGGTCTGAATTTGATCACAGATTAAGGTTCATGCGTGATTAAGGAAGTTATCAGGTCAGACTTACTTGGCCATTTCTGAAAGCTGCAACTTGCCATCCTTGTTCGGCAAAGATTTGTAGGCGAACGTTAAAAACTGAGGGGTGAGGCGCTTTGTCAACATGGCACCAAGGCGAATGTGGTAAAATAAAATGAGGTACACGCTTTAATGAGGAAAGTTTATGTATGGTAAAAAAAAAATAAAAACTTAAAATGTTTTTGAATTACCATAAACCATTTAACTGATTTAGTTTTACAATTGTCTTACACAGCATTCCAAAAAAAATTTACTTGCATGTTTCTTTTTTATTTAAGTGTAAATATTTTCAAATACAAATTACATATTTAAAATGCGAGATGAATGCACTGTATTGCAGAGTTATTTTACCTATTTTTGGGTTTAAAATACTAATTCCTGACTCATAGGGATGGATTTACATGTAGACACTAGGGCTGTGTCATATACCTGTCATACACTCGGGGGCTGAGTGAAGGACCTTACTACCATAGTGCAGTGTACCAATGATTTTGTCTTCAGAAACATCTGGTCTTTCTTGGCTTTTTTTAGCAGATCTCGTAGAAAATTTTGGGGAGGTTATGGAAATTAATGCAGCGAGTTTGGGTGATTCAGAGGGGCCTAAGACAGAAAGGCAAAAAGGCTAATTTTCCAATATTAAAAATTATTTAGAAATTTTTAACAAAAGTTATTGAAGTAAAAATAATATAAAATGTTTGTAGGGACCAAGTAGGAAAATACCAACAATCATGGTGTCTTGTACAGTGAACCCTGCTTTAAACCCTCACTGTTTTTCCCATAGAAACACAGTGGGCATGTACCTTGGGGGCCATGTACCCCGGTATTACCCTGGTGGCGTGTATCTTTAGTGCATACCCGGGGGCAGTGATTCCCCGTAGCTACCCCGGCGGGAGTGTACCCCGAAGCATACCCCGGGGGCAGTGTATCCTCAGTAGTCCCCTGGGGCATGTATCCTCAGTAGCTACCCCCGGGGGCAGTGATCCTCATAGCTACCCTGGTGGCGTGTACCCTCAGTAGTATTCTGGTGGCAGTGTTTTTCCCCATAGCTACCTGGTGGGGTGTACCCTAAATAGTGTACCCTGGTGGCAGTGTATCCCAACGTAGCTAATGCGGCGTTTACCTTCCGGGAGTTTACCATTTGTTTCCCTGTACCCCAAGGGGAACCCCTTTTTTTCCCATCCCACCCCACCTTATTATTATAATAATAATTTAAGGAAGCGCTTAAACCCACTAGGGACAAAAGAAAACGTTCCCGAAGCAGAAATTGGACTCTGGCTCGGGAAAGCAGTTGCAACTTTCGCAGTTTTTTTAATACAATTTTCGTTCATACAGCTGTGTATTCATTCCCATTTCAAAGCATTTGGATACTCAGGCCAACATTTGGTGGCAGAGGTGATACTTTTACATTTTGGTTACGCCATTTTTAAGTTTACGCCCGTTATGTGGAGACAAACTGTGTTGCAAAATAAGTTCTTTTTAGGACAATGTTCAATCGGTGTATGGCATTTAAAGTAGTGGAGGATTTTCATATGGCAAAAAACTGCCTAAAAAAATGATGTTTAGCAACTTGAATCTTTTTCTTCAGTATGGACACTGTATGCAATTTAGATGTAGTCTGCCAATTTGAAGCCAGGAAGCCAGCTATGAGCTAGCTCTTTCATCAGTGGGGGAAACAGCAAATTTCTGCCTCCCTGAAAATGGGCTGAGCAGCTCAACACATTAGCGACAATTTCTTTTCACAATTCCTGCAATCCCAGTGTCATTTAGTCATAATCATTACATAGTATAAATTGTTTTAACCCAAACCCACCTATTATCAGTTTCATGTTACAAGAGGGAAGGTAACAGTGAAGTTAGGTTTTTTAAGTGTCATGGTATTTTTCACTATAAAGAAATAGCAGTTTTGGTTTGGTTAGACTGAACGTGGTTTCCCAGTATCCACCAGCTAAGCTTTGGTTGACAGTGTATAGTGCCCCGGCAACCTGCCTTATGTGGCTATTTCTATGAAATTTGCCAATCTCTCCTACTGCCTGTATTTTTTTTTAGTTTTATAACAGTTGCAAGTATCAGATATTGCATGTTGCAGAAACCACATTGCCAGGAAGCTGTTACATTATTATTATAATCAAAAAGAAGCGCTAAGCCACAAGGACTATACAGCGCTGCAGGGCAGGAAGGAAGCGAGGGCATCAGGTGGCAAAAGGGAGATGGATGAGCAACAGGTTACGGATAACAGCGGGGCAGTGGATGGTGAAAGGGTAAAGGGCAGCAAGAGACTGAACCAGAAAGGGCTGAGGGGAGTGCGAAAAGTATCATCAGAGTTTGTGGAGTAAATCAGTCGTTGTCAAGAAGTCAATGAGAGAGTCAGGATTAAAGGAGGGTCCATCAGCAAGAAGGGAAGGTAAAGAGAGAGTAGGAGAACGAAGACGAGTTGGAGGTAAATTCTGCGTGCTCGTTGATAGAGAGGGCAGTCTAACAGAATGGGGCTAATCGATACTGGAACTTGACACTGCTCACAGAGAGGAACAGGGTGCCTCTCCATGAGATACCCATGAGTAAGACGAGTGTGGCCAATGCGAAGGCGAGAGAGTGGTCTCCCAACCTCGGCACTGATGACAAGAAGACGGCCAGTAACCTATGCTCGGTTTAATAGAATGAAGTTTGTTACCGAGCAGAGTTGCCCAAAACGTTGTTGCCAACGGGTGCGAAGGTGGGTAGCTATTGCAGCAAAATGTCCAGAAATGGAACACCTCGATAGGAAATTGGTAGGTCATATACTGCTGACCGCGCGCAGTGTCTGCCTGTTATTGCCCTGTACGTCGACATGACCGGGACCAACAAAAAACAATATCTTTATGTTTGGTAGAGATACGGCGTAGCCAAAGTTGGATACGGAGAAATAGGGGGTGAGATGTATCAAATTTTTTGTATAGCCTGTAGAGCACTAAGGGAGTCTGAGACTACTACAAATGATGACACAGGCATAGATGGGGATACGATAAGTGCTGCAAGAATGGCATACAGTTCAGCAGTAAAAATGCTAGCTGAAGGGTAAGTAAATGCCCTCGTCGACGCTGTCCGGGAAAAAACTGCTGCGAATCCGACGCCGTCTGAAGACTTAGAGCCATCTGTTTTACACAGCGGTGGATGAGAATGGAGTGGAAGTGATCAAGAAAAAAGAGAGCGGGAAGCCACCGTAGGCAGTTGGCTTTCGAGCAAGGGAGTGAGAAAGAACAGACCCGAACAGCTGAAACTTCCCAGGGGGTAGGGAAAAGTGAGATGCTACATGAACATATAAAGGTGGTAACTGAAGGGAAGACAAGAGTGAAAGTAGGCGAAGAGAAAAGAGGGACGGAGCAAACAGGGGCGGCGAAAAGAAAAAAAGAATGTCTACTAATATCGGTGACCATTCTATAAATGGAAGGGATTGTGTAGGGTCGTTTAGAGCGACATAGTAACGAAGGCAATGGGCATCACGGCGATCAGACAAGGATGGAACATTTGCTTCTTATAGAGGCTCTCAACAGGGGAAGAGCGAAAAGCCCAAGGCACAAACGTAAGCCTTGGGTGATGGATAGAGTTAAGGCTAGAGAGAGTAGCAGGAGAGGCCGCGGAATAAATCTGGTCAAACCATAAACGAGTTTCGATTTAAAAAGAGGGCTGAATGTAGGCGAAGCAGGTTCGACGATCAGCTCCCCAGGAAAGATGAGCAAGGGTTTTAAGAAGGTTTAGCCGACTGTGACAAGTTGCCCTTTAGAGAGTAATGTGAGGTTTCCCCGGTTAACGAAGGTTAAGTTCCAGAGCTAAGAGAATAGTCCTATAAGAAAGGTTTGGAGGGAAAATCGGGCCTGACGACACTGAGGACAGTGAGGGATAGGGGAAGCATGATAATGACATACAAAATAGCTGCGATGGAAAAGACAAAGGGACAGAGACAAATTTCCAGAGAGGGGACACGGGAAACAAGGGGTCACTCTTGAATTGGGGGAAAGACTCGTATGAGTCACTACAGGGATGTTAGGACGCAGTTCTTCCGTTATATAGTGTCAGGAAGTGGGAACAGTCCTAGGGAGCGATTAAGTGAAGCAGGTACCATGACATAGCTTTAAGCACGAGTATGATATAGCTCATGTAACAGGGAGAAGAAGAGGACCTAGTAGCGTTCAGTGAAGAGGCAAGTGCCAGTGAGCTGAGTCACGACCCCAGCAACGCAACAATTAGGCGGCTAACGACACACACACAACACATCACACACACAGCACACACACACATAGTTGTAACAACAATGTGCAAGGAAGGCTGAGGAAGGTTTATACCCATGGGGAACAGGACAATGAAAAAAGCCAGGATGAGCTCACATGGTTCACCCCAAAGGTGTCAGGAGGCAAAAAACGCAAGTAGTGCTAGGGAATGGAAGTAAAATATAAGAACAAAGGACCCAGGAAATAAAGAGAGCAGTCGTAGAGCAGAAACGAATATGCACAGGTAAGAAGGAGGCCCACGATAATATGAAAATCGACATAGCAGCGAAAGAGCAAATCTGACACCGAAACTGATTAATATACAGCCACATCATGAGGAAAACGAAACAGTCACGGACCAGGTACTCAGGCTAAGGAAGGGAAGGAGGAGAGACAACAATAAATGACCGTGAAGTATGAGGAAGAACTCAACAAGAGATTCAAAGAATTTTCACAGAGGAGACAGAAGGGCTCCAGAAATGCGGTAGAGTGGGGCACATCCTCAATTTCTGGACACAGTACACACAACCGAGGAAGAAGTGAAGAGGCTTCGGAGTGAGCTAGATACCTCAAAGGCAAAGGGGCCAGATAACACTCCCCCATGGGTCCCTGAGAGAGGGACAGAGGCGGCTATGTGTACCCCCCCTAACAACAATATTCGAACACATCAATCGAAACAGGGAGATTGCCTGAGGCATGGAAGACGCAAATGTATCCCCAATCTTTAAAAAAAGGAGACAGACATGAGAGCAACATAAATACAGGACCAGTGTCCACTGACATGTATAGATGCCAAAGTCATGGAGAAGATTAACAGAAGAATGAGTGGTGGAACACTAGAAAAGGAATGAGTCCATCAACAGCAACCAACATGGTTTCAGGACAGGAAATCCTGTGTCACAAAACCTACTGGACTTCTTATTACATTGTGACAGCATAAGACAAGAAGAAAGACCATTTGACACAGTTTCCACACAAGGAGATTAGTGCAAAAACTGGGGACCAGCAGGATAACAGGGAAGGACTACAATGGATCAGGGAATACTTGCAGGAATACAGCAGCTACTCATGGTGTGATGTGGCGAGGTGGTCAGGTGGGCACCTTTGACCAGCGTGGTCCCACAGTGTCGGTGACTAGGACCAGTGGCTGTTTCTGTTATTTGTGAACAACATGGACGGAAGGAAAGACCTATTTCCTGAGGTGTCCCTGTGTTGCAGATGACATGAAGTTGATAGAAAATTCATTCGATCGAAGTACCACAGGGCAGAACTACAAAGGGATCTGGACAGGCATTAGAGCCTGTCCAGCAACTGGCATCCTGGAGTTCATCCCACTAAGTCAAAGTCATGAAGATTGAGGGAAGGGCAAAGAAGACTGCAGATTTGTACAGTCTAAGGGCCAGAGACGACAAACCTCACTCCAAGGAAAAGTCTTGGGGCGAGTATAACCAGGCAAAACATTCTCCTGAAGGCGGCACATCAACTCAAAATGAACTGCTGCATTGGCGATATGGGCGCGCTATCAAACCTCAGAACATACAGTCCGAACATCTTAATAAGGAATCGTTTTCTAGGACGCCTGTATACCATATAAGTTAGCCCCATATTGGAGTATGCGGTCAACCAGTTTAGAACCCATCACCTAGTCAAGCAACGTAAAGAAACTTAGAGAAAAAGCAAAGGTTTGCAACAAGACAAGCCCAGTATGCTAAGAGTATGTCCCTACGAGGAGAGTTAAGGGAATCAACCTGACGACACTGGAGGACAGGAGAGATAAGGGGGGACATGATAACAACATACAAAATACTGAAGGAATGACAAGGTGGACAAAGACAGATGTTCGAGAGATTGGACACATAGTAACAAGGGGACACAGTTGGAAGTTGAATGCACAAAAATCCACAGGGATGTTAGGAAGTATTCTTCAGCCACAGAGTAGTCAGGCAGGTGGAAAGTTTGGGAAGCAAGTAGTGGAGGCAGGATCCGAATACATGCTTAAGCAGAGGTATGATAAAGCACACACGGTCAGGGAAGAGTGACCTAGTAGACCAGTGAAGGAGGCGAGGCCAGGACTTGACTCGACCCCTGCAACCACCAGCTAGGTGAGTATAACACACACACACATACACACACACACCACACACACACACACACCAACACACACACACACACAGGGGAGGGGAGTTAAAGTGTGGAGGTACTGTAGTGAGGTAGTCATGAATACTGTAATTGGGTAGTAAAAAGCTTTTTTAGTGAAATAGTAGTAAAGTTTATTGCTTCTGGATATTATTGTGTTAGATATTAAGGACTATATTTTAGTGGATAGTCAATAGAGTAAGTGGTGGGGGAACAATAAAATGTTGTATTGGATAATAAATATTGTAAGTAGGGTGGGGCAATAACAGAGAAATATTGAAACATTGTGAAAAATAGAACTGAAGAAATATATTTCACAATAAAAGAAATAATTTAACAATAAAATAAACAAAGTTGCCAAAATAATTTAGTCTCCATCTGCATGACAGTAATTTTATTTTATTTCACAAAGAAAATATAAGAAATTCGAAATTCCCTTCTTTACTTCCTTCCTTTTCATATAACCCTGCCCTTTCCCTTCATTACCCCTCCCTTTCCCATACCTCCCTCCCTCCTTTCCATCCTCCCTCCCTCCGTTTCCATCCTCCCTCCCTCGCAACCTACTTCATTCCCAGCTCTATATTTTCAATCCTGCCTCCCTCTCGATCCCTCCTTAGCGCCTATCATTATCCTACTCTCTTCTCCTCCCCCACAATTACCCAACCACCGTGGCAGCTACTGGGACCCCTTCCCAGTCCAGGTCTGAAATTTGATCACAGATTAAGGTTCATGCGTGATTAAAAGGAAGTTATCAGGTCAGACTTTACTTGGCCAGTTTTTTTTTTTTTTTTTTTTTTTCATTTTTTTCTGAAATCTGCAACTTGCCATCCCTGTTCTGGTCGAATGACTGTGTAGCTTGCGAACGTTAATACGAGAGTGAGTGAGGCGCTTTGTCAACATGGAACCAAGTGCGAATGTGGTAAAATGAGATGTACACGCATTTAACGAGCAAGTTGATATGTATGTTGAAAAATAAAAAAAAACTTAAAATGTTTTGAAAAAAAAATTACCATAAACATTAAGCTGGATTTAGTTTTACAATTGTCATGGTGACACAGCATTCACAAATAACATTTACTTTGCAAGTTTCACTTTTTACTTATAAGGTGATAAATATTATTACAAATACAAATGTAACATATGTTAGAATGCGAGTACTGAATGCACTGTATGCAGAGTTTGACTTTCACCTATATTTGGTTAAATAACTAATTTTCCTGATCTCACTCAGGGATGGATATACATGGAGACACTCAGGGCTGTTTTCATATACCTGTCCATACACTCAGGCAGAGGAAGACCTTACACACTCAAAGAGTCAGTGTACTCAACGAGTTTGTCTTCAGAATCATCAGGACTTTCTTTGGCTTCTTTGTTAGCAGATCTCGTAGAAAAGTTCTGGAGTTATGGAAATTAAGCACTGAAGATTGGTGATATTCAGAGAAAGGCACTAAGACAGGAAAGGCAAAAAGACTAATAATATGTCCAATATTGTAATTATTTAGAATTATTTAACAAAAATGGTAATGAGATAAAAATAAATACAATTTTGTAGTGACCATGGAGGGTAGGAAAATACCAACAATGCCAATGGTGTCTTGTTACAGTGAACACTGCATTTAAACCCCTACACTGTTTTCTAAACTGTAGAAACACAGTGGTGCATGTACTCTTGGTGGCCATGTACCCTCGGTTATCTACCCTTGTGGCAGTTTATTCTTCAGTAGCATACCCCGGTGGCAGTGAATCCCTCAGTAACATATCCCCTGGCGCAGTGTACCGCTGCAGAGCAATACCGTTGTGGCAGTGTATCCTCATAGCTAACCGCATGGTGGCAGTGTATCCTCATTATCTACCCTGGAAGGGCAGTGTATCCTCAGTAGCTACCCTGGTGGCATTGCCCTCAGTAGCATGATTCCTGGTGCAAGTTGTTTTTCCTCAGAGGCTACCCTGGTGGGCAGTGTACCCTCAGTAGTGTAACCCTTGGTTGCAGTGTAATCCTCAACGTAGCTAACTTGCGTCAGGTCCATCCGGGGTAGTGTACCATTTGTGGTTCCATGAGTACCCTAAGGGTATCATACCTTTTTTTATTCCTATCCCACCCACCGGTTATTATTATAATAAGTAATAAAGGAATACGCAAAAAAAACCCACTAGGGGCACAAATGAAGCACTTCCCAGAAGGCAAGCACTTGGCACTACTGGCTCTGGAATACGCAGTTGCAACTTGCGCAGTTTTCTTAATACAATTGCAGTTCATACAGCTGTGTATTCATCTCCCATTTCAATGCATAGTGGACTACTCATAGAGTCCAACATTGGTGGCGAGGTGATATGCATTATTACATTTCTTTACAGCCATTTTAATGTTCAGCAAGCCAGTTTATGTGGAGAAAGACTCGTGGTTGCAAAATAAGTTCTTTTGAGGACAATGCTTCAATCGGTGTATGAGCATTTAAAGTATGATGAGAGTGATTTCATATGGCAAAAAACTGTCCTAATAAATGATTTTTAGCACATGAATCCTTTTCTCCCGTATGGAATCGACTGTATGCAATTTAGATGGTAGGTCTGCCAAATATGAAGGCCAGAAGACCAGCTATGAGCTAGCTCTTTGCATGCAGTAGAGATGCCAAGCTACTCGACATGCCATAGCACTTGAAAAGTAGGGCTGAGCAGCTCAACAACATTAGCGACAATTTCTGTTTCCACAATTCCTGCAATCCCATGTCATTTATTCCATAATCATTACATAGTATAAATTTTTTTTAAAAAACCCAAACCCACCGTATTAGTCAGTTTCCATGTTACAAGAGGGAAGGAACATGAAGTTAGGTTTTTTTTAAAGTGTCATGGTATTTTCACTATAATGAAATAGCAGTTTTGGTTTGGTTAATAACTGAATCGTGGTTTCTCCAGTATCCACGCAGGCTAAGCTATGGTTGGACATTGTATAGTGCCTAACGCGGCAACCTGCCTTATGTGGCTATTTCATGAAATTTGCCAACTCTCCTACTGCTGTATTTTTTTTTAGTTTTTATAACAGTTGCAAGTATCCGATATTGCATGTTGTCAAGATACCACTATTTGCCAGGAAAGACGTGTTACATTATTATTATATCAAAAAGAAGCGCTAAGCCCACAAGGACTGAATACAGCGCTGGCAGGCAGGAAGGAAGCGAGGGCGCATCAGGTGGAAAAAGGATATGAGATGAGCAACAGGTTTACGATAACAGCGGGGCATGGATGGGTGAAAGGGTAAAGGGCAGCAAGAGACTGAAAACCCGAAAAGGGTCTGAGGTAGTGCGAAAAGTATCATCAGAGATTTGTGGAGTAAATCAGTCAGTTGTTCAAGAAGTCAATGAGAGAGTCAGGATGTAAATGAGGGTCCCATTCAGCAAAGAAGGGAAGGTAAAGAGAGAGTAGGAGATCGAAAAAGCGAGCGTTGGATGTAAAATACAGCAGTGCTCGTTGATAGAGAGGGCCAGTCTAACAGAAGATGTGCTAATCGATACATAGGAACTTGACACTGCCACAGAGAGGAACAGGGTGGCCTCTCCATGAGATATCCCATGAGTTAAGGACGAGTGTGGCCAATGCGAAGGGGCCGGGATAAGTGGTCTCCCAACCTCGCACTTGATGACAAGAAGACCGGCCAGTAACCTATGGCTCGGTTAATAGAATGAAGTTTGTTACCGATCAGAGTTGACCAATCGTTTTTGCCAACGGGTGTCGTAAGTGGGGTACTATTGCAGCAAAAATAGTCCAGAAATGAACTAGCCTCATATAGGAGGAATGGTAGGTTCATATACGTGGCTGAACCTCGCCGCAGCAGGTACTGCCTGTTCATTGCCCTGTACGTCGACATGACCCAGGGACCCAACAAAAAAACAGATATTCGATTTATGATTGGTAGAAACGGCGTAGGCCAAAGTTTGGATACGGAGAACTAGGGGATGATATGTATCAAATTTTCGTATAGCCTTGTAGAGCACTAAGGGAGGTCTGAGACACTACAAAGATTGACACTAGGCCCCATAGATGCGAATAGGACGAATAAGTGAGCAAGAATGGCATACAGTTCAGCTCAGTAAAAATGCTAGCTGAAGATAGTAAATGCCTTCGTACTGACGCTGTCCCGGAATACACTGCTGAGCGAACCCGACGCCGTCTGAAGACTTAGAGCCATCTGTGTACACAGGCGTGGCATGAGAAATATATGGGAAGTGATCAGAAAAAGAGAGCGGGAAGCCACCGTAGGCAGTTGAGCTTTTAGCAAGGTGAGTGAGAAAGAAAAGACCCGAACAGCTGAAACTTCCCCAGGGTGGGGTAGGGATAAAGTGAGATGCTACATGAACAATAGTAAAGGTGGTAACGTGAAGGGAAGACAATAGTGAAAGTTAGGCGAAGAGAAGAAAGGAAACGGAGCAAACAGGGGCGGCGAACGAATAAGAGAATGTCTACAAATATCGGTGACCATTCTATATATGTAAGGATTGAGTAGATCCGTGAGAGCGTACATAGTAAAACGAAGCAATGGGCATCACGGGCGATCAGACAAATGGAACCTTTGCTTCTGTAAAGAGGGCTCTGCAACAGGAAGATCGAGAAAGCACCAAGGCATACAAAGCAAACTTAAGCCTTGGTGAGTGGATAGATTTTAAGGCTAGAGAGAGTACGAGGAGAGGCGCTGAATCAATCTGGAGTCATCCATAATCGAGTTTCGATAAAACTAGGCTGAATGTAGGCGAAGCAGGTTACCGGAGACGATCAGCTCCCGGCAGGGAAAGATGAAGCAGGGTTTTTTAAAGAAGGTTTAGCCGTCTGGTACCAATTGCTTTCAAAGAGGATTAATGTGAGGTTTCCAGGTTTAAACCGGTACGGCAAAGAGAAGGCACTAGAAAACCTGACTGTATCACGTTCGGTGTATACGGGATGGCCATATAGATCCAAAGGGAAGATCGGAGATAACAGAGCAGACTAGTGAAAGTAATTATGGAGAGTTTTGGTACTTTGTAAATTATAAACTCCATGGGTTGGTGGGACCAAGTGGAAACACGGTCGGTGAACCGCATGCTGGGGAGAGAAACTGCAATAGGTTACAGTCAGCCGCGCCTGCACAAGCAATAGCGAAGTTCATAACATAGAGTGATGACCAAATAATGGGTGGAAGAACAGGGCCAAACCATTTATAGCAAGGAGAAAAAAGTGTAGTTCTAGAACACTCCCTGAGGACAAACCGTTCAGCTTGGACGAAGTCCGGGGAAAAGAACATTAGGGAAAGAACATTATTGTGGACTCAACACGGAATGTCTGTCAGTTAAAAAAGTTCTTAAGGAATGGATGGTAGATTGCCCTCGGAGGCCCGTAAGGAATGGGGCCTGGCCAAAATATTATACTGCAGTTTGTGTCATATGCCTTCTCAAGGTCAAAAATATGCAATAACTGAGTGATTATTCGCAAAGGGCATTACGAACATACGTATCCAAGCGTAGATAAGGGGTCTGATGGTAGAACGACCCCTTTACGAAAGCATATTGGACGTAGCGAGAGACTGTTGTGAGACTCTAAATATCCACTTTAAACGTCGATTTACGAGGCGTCTCCATCACTTTGGCAAATCTGCACTTGTAAGAGCGATGGGGCGATAAGTGGAGCATATGTCCTGTATACCGGTTTTGTGCGGAAAGTAGTAAGAGGGACAATGGCATATTTCCACTGCTGGGGAAGAACTCATTGTGCCCAAATAAGATTGAAGAGGTTATTAGAGGACTACAAGGGACTGACCGATGTAAATGTTGTCACATACTGAATATGAATGTCATCCCAGGAGGCCCAGCTGCCGATGATTGATACGGCAAGCTGAGATGCGTTGCCATCCAGGTCTTGAGTGTAAAAGAGGCACATTATACTGTTCTTCCCGAGAGAAAGAAAAGACCAAGGTATACTGAACACTCTGGCATGATCCTTGAGGAAGAAACAGTGGCATAGATGGAGCCCTCGGCGAAATACGACCAATGTGTTCCAAGTTCAATGTGCAGAGGCGACCGGAGATGAGTTTGCTATATCAACACCATGTGAACCCGGTTAGAACAGGAGCCGGTCAGGAGAGTATTTACCCACTCAACTTTCCTCACTTTTTTCCAACTGTGCACATCATAGAAGAAGCAGAGGTGATGGTGGAAACATAGTCTCGCCACCAAGTGCGTTAGCTTCATCGGATGACTCGGAGCGGCTGAGTCGCACAGCTTCTGCTTAAAATCAACAAGTCTCATCTCATGCGAGTTCTCTATTGAACCGGTACCTGCCCCGAAGCAGCACGTTTCAAACATAACTTGCACGAGCAAACAACAGGAGACCCACCAGGCAACGCACTTCTGAGAATGCCTGCCTGAGGT